AAAATTTTTTTTTTTTTTTTTTTTTTTTTTTAATATACGGTTTAAAGTTATTATTAGAATTTTGAAAATTTAGGAATATTATCAAAACAATGTGCAAAATTGATGAAATATTCTTATTAATTAAGCTTAAACACTAAACTCAAATTTTTGAAGGCTAAATTGCTTATATAATTTAGGACACTAAACTCAAATTTCGAGCCTCTTTTGAAGAATGTTTTGTTACCCTCTCCAACCGATATAGGATTTCACAGCTCAAATTTGATAGGATTTTGAGTAAGCATTTCACTAAAAACATGTAGAAAAATGATGAAATTGAGGGAGTCGAATTGTATCAGACCTCGTGTAGACGTTCATTTCTTTCCACAAGTTTTTCTGAATACCAAACTTGATTACGAATTGGAATTCATTTTTTTCGAACATCCCGGCTTCTTTGAAGTGTTTGGATGGAGAGAAACAGTGGTGGCTTCAAGAACACTCATGTTAGGAGAATAGTGATAGTGATGGGTTTTGAGTTTTAGAAACGTGGGAAAGAATTGAATTGGTCGGACATATTATTCTTTTACACAAAAAGGGTTTGTCTTTGAAGATACTAAGAATACAAAAAAGTTTGAATTCAAAGGGAATTGATTCTGTGTTGCCCATTTGGCGGCCCACTGCCAGTGAGAGGTATCTTCCAAAGTCAAGTACATTCAACTTATCACCTCTAGGTATTATTTATTTTTACCCGTTACGTATCGTCGTCAGCTTCGTGATTTAACGCGTTTTAAAGAGAGATTTTCACATCCTTATAAAGAAATAGACCAAAGTGTGAGCGGGTGTAGAGAAGAAAAAGTCAAACACTCAAACCTAACAAGAATGAGCAACAACGAAATAACAAGATGAGGTACTCGGGACACCCATTTAGAAAGAAGGGTTGAAGGTATTGGGCCAGAAGCTTTCTCCATCCACCCTTTATTAGGTGGTGCGTCCTTGTGTTCTTGTTTCTTTCACTCCGGAGGCCCCAAAGCGGCACAATGCCACTAACGCCGAGTTGGCTCCTATGTCGATTGCACAAAACAGACCGAACCGAAGTTAAACCCTCTTGTAAGAACAAATCTCTAGCTTCATATTACAACAACCACAACAAAATAAATTCAAGTTTATTTCAAACAAGATGATTTTGTCATTACATAATATAATACAAACCGATTGATTAAAAGAAATTACAAACCCCATCACCAAATAAACATTCCCTCAAATTAATTCCACCATTGAATAAGCTCTCAAATCCTCAAATCCATGCACCAACAGTAATAATCAGACCTAGAAATCTCCAACATCTGTTCTGGGCTCATCCTCTCAAGCTCACTTTCCCTCCAAGCTGCAAAGTTGTTTTTGTTTTGTGGGTCAGAAGCCATTGGATGATGCTCTATCCTATGAACTTGTGATCTCATTCTCTTGTACAATCTCATGCCACCCACACATTCTTCATAAGGATCTTGTACTCCATTTTGAATCTCAAATCTACAATAACAAATACCAATTATTCGTTTATTACATAAACCTTGCTCGATAATCATTTCGTATGTTATTTTTTGAAAATCGTGTTCGTTTTTGAATGAAGTATACTAACGAGTACTAGAATTGAAAATGGTACTTGCCCAAGATATACTTGAGCTAGATACTTGAGTGAATTGCAGAGCTTGCTTGTCTTCATCAATGGCGGATAATTTGCTATGTCCCTGTGGATCAGTGCATGAAACACAAGCAATCTTTAGAACTATTCACTTTTAGGTCAAGATCTTAAAAGGGTTTCGTAAAAAAGTTGATATAAGGTTAGAACTTCAAATTTCGATAAGAAATTTAAAATTTTGAGTTGATGGGTCACGATAAATTTAATTTTTGTTTGAAGAATTTACCTTATCATGATAGATGGATATCCGATTTGTAGACGTTTGAGATCGTCTTCCACACAGTGACCCACAAGAACCCTAGCTTTCTCACCTCCATTGTAGAGGATGTCTTGAATTTTCTTTTGAACTTGCTTTAGTGGCATTGCATCTCGAACATGTTCGGGACGAATGCCCGTCGTTTCATACCTAATTTTATTTTTACATATCAAAGCGGTTAAATTATAAAAAATTTATACTCCAATTCTAAAACTTTAGGTTTATTTGGTCTCTAAATTTTAAATGATTCGCCACGAAAAATAACTGACCTATAATTTGTAACGGGTATTGTGGGCTTGACATAGCTATAGAAGATGACATTTTCACTCTCATCAATAAGGCAGACCTTGGCACAGACATCCAGCGACCCATCACCGCCACCTACATATTTGCAAGCTAACGCCACGGGACCGGAGCCTCGAGTTCTTCCACCGTCGATGGCGGTTGAACCATCGCGAATTCCCAAGTTGGCCAAACGAGCAAGAAGCCCCTGATCAAAACAGCCAAAAAAGAATGGAAGATTCAAGATTTTGAAGGTAAAGAACTAAATTTCATGCTGTTTAATTAGCTGATAGTTGAGGGTTCATACAGAATTAACACACGAGAATTGGCATCTTTCTTGGTGGAGCCTTTGTGAGTAAGAACTGTCAAGGATGGCCAAGCAAAACTTGCATCCTCGCATGTCGAAGACGTTTTTGCATTCTTGCTTCGGCAGCGGCCCTGATAACAACATGATCGTATCGATATAATTAAATTTATCATAACCCATTATAGTATATGTAATAGTTCAAGTCTACTGCTGACAAATATTGTCCACTTTGACTCGTTATGTATCGTCGTTAGCTTCACGATTTTAAAATGCATCTACTAGAGAGAAGTTTCCACACCCTTACAATGAATGCTTCGTTTCCCTCTCCAACCGATGTAGGATCTCACAATCCACCCTCTCTGGGTGCTAGCTTCCTCACTAGCACAGTGTCTAACTCTAATACCATTTGTAACAACTCAAGCCCACTGTTAGGAGATATTGTCCGCTTTGGCATGTTACGTATCGTCGTCAGCCTCACGATTTTAAAATGCGTTTTCTAGGGAGAGGTTTCCACACCTTTACAAGAAATGTTTTGTTTCCCTCTCCAACCGATATGGGATTTCATAATCCATCTCCCTTGGGGGCCAGCGTTCTCGCTGGCACACAGGCTCTAATACCATTTGTAATAGCCCAAGGCCACTGCTAGTCGATATTGTCCGTTTTAGTTCGTTACATATCGTCGTCAACCTAACGGTTTTAAAACGCATCTGCTAGAGAGAGGTTTCCACACTCTTATAAGAAATGTTTCGTTCCCCTCTCCAACCGATGTGGGATCTCACTATAGGTCTTATATACGAACTTTTATTGAACTTTAAAAAGCTTACGACTTTATCGGTAGAAACGACTAACATACCAATGAGATGTTCTCTAAGAGAATCAAGAGAACGACAGTGTTTCTTGCAAACGGCACAAGTGGGTTCATGAGGTGAGTGGAAAGAGGTCCTCATATGATCAACCAAATGCTCAATCTTGTTGAATTGCCTGAAGCAAGCAGCGCACTTGTGCCTGTTTGACAACCATTTTTAGTGTCAAAAACTTAGAAACAATGCCACAAACAAATACACAAAGACAGGGAGAAGGAGATCAAACCTAGATGTCTCAGCTGAATGATCCATTGTCTGATCAAACAAAAACTCTTACTTTGATGCCAGAAAGTGGGTGCAAAGGAAGCTGTTTTATAGAGAGAAATTTAGGGTTCTTTGAGGCTTTTTAGGGTCAACAACTAGGTATATTCTAATAATGTAACTTTGGGTGGCTAGAACAATAAAAGTTTGGGTCCTCCATAAAGAAGAACCAGAATATTTCGAATTAACTAAGGTCAACTCATAAATGGTATCGATTCTATTTGAATATTATCATGTGCACAAAGGGAGTGAGGAGAAGACGACTTCTTTTGACATCACTTACCATTTTAAAGATCAATGATTCGGTCTTTCTCTCTTACAATGTTGAGTGGTTGTGATTTTTCAAGATATGTGGCTTGAGTGTTGACACGGGTTTAGATATCTTTGTGCGTAAGAATATTTGAAAACTACAAACCCGTCTTCCTTTTAGTCTCTATTTTGTTCGTAAGTTGTTTTCTTAGAATCAATCGGAGAAAAAAAGACGAAGAGTCTCGGTTAGTGATTTATATCTATTTTAGGAGAGTTTGAGATGGACGTGCATGAAATTTGGAGTTATGGGTTTGTACTTTGATGATTCTATCGAACTTTGCGATGAGGATATGAAGGCATCAACTACGTTATTGACCGAAATAGCCGAAAAGCAACCCACCCAAAGAGCAAGTTGGGATACCAAAAATATATACAGATAAAAAGGCAGTGACCCTTCAACACAAATGCAAGAATTGGCATCCAAGAATTTTAAAAGGCCCAATCTGATTCCCTTTTGGATAAGATTATATTGTTCTCAACTAGGAATGGCGACAAACATGGCTGTGAGTGAACTTACAAGTTTCCTTTTTCTAACCAGAAACATGGTGCGAGCCGAGCCGAGCCGAGGGCAAGCGGGGTGGAAGAAATCGAACCTCTGACTTCTTAGTTTAGGGTCCCAACTGACGACAATCCAAGAGAGGGAGGACTTTTTAGAGTAGGAAAAATTTGATAGTAGGTTTGAAATGACCTTTTAAGTACCTAAAAAAAGTGCTTTTAATAAGTACAAACACATGGATAGCTTGGTTTATCTACCCAACTTCTCTACGAGACACCAATAATTCTCAGAGTTCATAGCCCGAACAATGTTCATAAACTTTTGCCATTTCTAATACAACTGGACCAAATTCTAAAGGTGCAAGCGTGATTTTCGACAGAATCAGACGCTAATGTGAAAATTTGTAGTGTTGAGACGTTGTGGCAGAGGAGTATCTATAATGCTCATATATTTGTCAATCAGACATTTGATGTTTCCATTTCGCTCGAAATGTTCGATTCCTACAAAGTAAACAATTATATAGTAAAAAATAGTTATTAAGTATCAAAACTAGTACTAAATAAGTTGTTGAAATTGTTCAGTATAAGCATTATCAGATGCGTAGTACAGAGGAAACCATAAGCATTATATTTATATATGGCTTACAGAATAAAAGTGATTCTAGCAAATAATGGGAGGAAGTGTTTTGACCTTGGGAAAAGGTGGGGGTCAGTCAATGGGAGATTCTTTGGACTGAAAAAGTGTGGACCAGAGAAGGTTCTTTGAATGTACCAGAAAGAAAAGGTGAAAGAAGACTTGATGATATTATTCTGATCTGTTGAAGCTTAATGCTTTCCAATTCACTGCTAAGCAATGAAATGGCTTTTGAGTTTACTTTTTGATCCTTTTGAATGAACAAGAACTCTCTAATGACATGTTCAAAGTTTCTTTTTGATGGGATTGCTGATTGAATTTGAAGCATTTCGTGAGATTGCACATCGGTTGAAGAAAGAAATGAGTGCCCGCGAGGACGCTGGGCCCTGAAAGGAGATGGATTGAGAGATCCCACATCAATTGGAGAGGGGAACGAGTGCGAACAAGGATGTTGGGCCCCGAAAGAGGGTGGATTGTGAGACCTCACATCGATTGGAGAGGGGAACGAATCATTCTTTATAATGATGTAGAAACCTCCCCTAGCAGACATGTTTTAAAAATCTTGATAGGAAACCCGAAAGGAAAAGCTTAAAGAGGACAATATCTGCTAGCGATAAGCTTGGACAGTTACACAATTGCTCTAGAAGATCAACAATTAATACTCAAACTAACCGTGATTATCATGCGTAACGAGGAGCTTGACAAGCTTTGTCAATTGGCAATGGTGGGTCTGAAAATGAGCCATTCAAAATATGGTTAGCAATCCACAAGTTTGCAGCCTCAGAGTAGTGTATGCCATCCCAGCTAATATGCCTTGATGGATCCTTGCAAGGATTTCCATAAACTGTTCCATTCACAACTTCTCTTTTTCCACAATCAATGTGATAGCCATAGTAACTCCCACAGCAAAACTTTACTGGATTCTTAACAAAACCTACCACCAATTATAATACTAAAGTTAGTCACCCATCTACGTTTTAATCAATACTCGAATAATTAACGAGAAAAAAGAAACGACCTTGAGTTTTCGCTTTGGATATGAGCAGATACTTGGCTGAATACATGTCTATGTGTATAATTCTAGCTAGAGGAAGCTTTTTCCCCAGCTTTAGCAGCCGACTCTTCAGCTGTCGATTAAATTCTCGAGAGACTTCATTCTGGCTCTCCACGCACCCATTGCTATCTCGATTATCAGGACTTTTGTTATACAATATAGAGTAAGGCAGACATCCAATTGGACCTGTGTTATGCACCCAGAAATACCTTGCCCCTTCCTTGTACAATTGCTGAAACATACACCAGAAAGAACATTAGAGCTTTCATTTAAGCTTTTTAAGTATATGCATTGTTGAGTGAATGGTTTAGGTTTCCTACTTGCACAGCTTCAGAGAATGTGTTTATTATATCTGGAATGGAGGCTCTAACTTGTTCTTCTGATGAGTGTTGGTAACCGTAGGCAAGATCGTTCTGCCCAATGTCGAACGTATATAGCGCCTTCGAAAACTCCTGGGGCCTCGCTATACGGTTGATTGATGTCGATGTCCTGTCTGTCACAAAGTATCTAACATTACCGTTATTATTAATGACACTATTGAGGATTGTTGGGAGGGAGTCCTACCATAGCAAATTTAGGGAATCATCATGGGTTTATAAGTAAGGAAGACATTTCCATTGGTACGAGGCATTTTGAAAAAACCAAAAGCAAAGCCACGAGAGCTTATACTCCAATATCATACCATTGTGGAGAGTCGTGGTTTCTAACATGGTATCAGAGTCATGCCATAAACTAGGCCAGGTCAATATAGAATCCTTAAATGTCAAACAAAGAATTGTGAGCCTCGAAAGTGTAGTCAAAAGTGATTAAAGTGTCGAACAAAGAGTGTACTTTGTTCAAAGACTCCAGAGAAGAAGTCGAGCCTCAATAAAGGGGAGGTTGTTCGAGGGCTCCATAGGCTTTAGGGAATGATCAATGAGTTTATAAGTAAGGAATACATCTCCACTAGTACGAGGCCTTTTGGGGAAGCTCAAAGCAAAGCCAGGAGAGTTTATGCTCAAAGTGAACAATATCATACCATCGTGGAGATTCATGGTTCCTACCGAACCCAAGAACATTCATACATCAAAGAAATGAAGCTTCTGTTCTGTCGTGAGGTGTGTAATATTGTAAAGAGTAAAGAATCAGAAACTGACTGTTGGAGTGGAGTCGATTGAACAGATCAGTGATGCGGGATTTGAATTGTATGAACTGTGATACTTGAATGCCAAGATGAAAAGGGCTGTAACCACCAGGACAAATGGATGAACCTCCTGTTGCAAAATTAGCTCCATGCCTAAAATTTGTTCCTAATGAGTCCAGATATGCACTCAGGAAAGGCAATTTCAGCTTCTCAGCTGTAGAAAGATCATGCATCAGTTGTTAGAGCTGAAAATGACGAACTCAATTGCCAAAAAAGGCTTCCAAATCCATAAAAAAATCATGATCATTGCTTGATTTTACTCAAAAGACTGCTAATTGTAAGCCATTTTCATGGTCAAAATCTATCCCCCTTTCGCGTTTCTAAACCTAAACAGCAGAACTCAAGCTAGCAATTTGTTCATAATCTTCAGAAACAAAGAGATATGAGAATGGGGAACTTACCTATAAAGTCTACAATGAGACGACCATCGCAAGCCCTTCCAGAAGGGCGTCGGAAGAAGGTTTCGCCGTTGGGCGGTTGAATCGCATTGAATGCCGCCGATATTCCGCCTGTGTCTGAATTTGAGTCGCCAAAGTTGTATACGGCGGGAAATCCACAATTTCCCGAACCACCAGCTGCTGTGGTAACGCCAATTAACAAACCCAGAATCCGAAGCACCAGAAGACGGCGGAGCTTCAGTAACCCCATGATTTTCACTGCTTAGTTCTTCAATCGTTGAGGAGATAAAGTAATCAGAGGCGATTCATAGCTATTTGGGTAATGGGAAATGAAATGATTGGAAGTGGAATTTACAGAGGCTAATTAGGACAAGAACAGTACACAAGTGAAAGGTGAAGAACATTGAAATTCGGACTCCCATTGTAATTGATGCCATTGCCTTTATTCTCATTTCTGATAAATCTTTTCATCCAACACAAATTTTTAATCAAGTTCTTCCACCAAGAATTTGGATTTAAAAAAATGTTGATTCTGCTCATAATCAGCCGATCCTTCCATATTTATGCACTCATTTGTAGTTCATTTATTTCGAAGTACTATTTTACGAGTACATTTTCATCGACTTATAATAGTTCAATTCATCGTATTGGTAATGGTTCCTATTAGAGTATTGTAGGAGTCGACAGTAACTTAGAGCAATCTTTGGCTATATCTTTTGTTCATGCTCGACAAGCTTTGTCGATCGGCAATGGTGGGTCTGAAAATGAGCCATTCAAAATGTGGTTAGCAACCCACAAGTTTGCAGCCTCAGAGTAGTGTATGCCATCCCAGCTAACATGCCTTGATGGATCCTTGCAAGTGTTGTTCTCGTAGACTGTTCCATTCACAGCTTCTTTCTTCCCACAGTTGAGGTGTAAGCCATGGAAGCTCCAACAGCAATAGTTCACTGGATCAACAAAACCTGCACCAGTTTCAACACTGAAGTTAGTCGGCTACCACTTCCTTCCCTTCTAATTTTGAGAAAAGAAGAACAACCTAGAGTTTTCGCCATGCTAGAGGATATTTGGCTGAATACATGTCTAAGTGAGTGATTCTAGCTAGAGGAAGCTCTTTCCTCAGCTTTAGCAGCAGATTCTTAAGCTGTGATTGAGTTCTTGAGCCCAATCACTGCTAGTAGATATTGTCCACTTTATCCGTTACATATCGTCATCAGCCTTACGATTTTAAAATGTGTCTGTTAGGAAGAGGTTTTCACATTCTTATAAGAAATATTTCGTTCTCCTCTCCAACCGATATAGGATCTCAGAATCTACCCCCTTTGGGGCCAGCGTCCTCGCTGGCACACCGTTCGAGGTCTAGCTCTAATACCATTTGTAACAATCCAAGGCAACTGCTAGCTGATATTGCCCGCTTTTGCCCGTTACGTATCACTGTCAGTCTCACGGTTTTAAAACGCGTCTGTCAATGAGAAGTTTCCACACCCTTATAAGAAATACTTTGTTCCCCTCTCTAACCGACGTAGGATCTCATAATCCACCCTTCTTAGGGGCTCAACACTCTCATTGGCACACTGCCCAGTGTTGGGCTCTAATACCATTTGTGACAGTCTAAGGCCACTCCTAGCAAATATTGTCCGTTTTGGCTTGTTACGTATTACAGTCCGCCTCACGATTTTAAAATGCGTCTGTTAGAGGAATGCTTCGTTCCCCTCTCCAACCAACGTGAGATCTCATGAAAGTGTTTTATGTATATTTTGTTGAGTGAGGGATTTAGATTGCCTACTTGCACAGCTTCAGAGAACGTGTTTATCATGTCTGGAATGGAAGCTCTAACTTGTTCTTCAAATGAGTAATGGAAGCCATGGAAGAGATCGTTCTGTGCAATATCGAAAATATATAGCGCCTTCGAAAACTCCCGGGGCCTCGCGATACTGCTTTCCATTGGTATAGCTGTGCTGTCTATCACCAAGTAGCCAACATAATAGCCATTGTTAAAGACATAACATGAGAAAATTCACACAACAAGGAGCTGAAGCTTTGTTCTGTCCTGAGAAGTGTAATGTGCATAGAGTAATGAATGAGAAACTGACTGGGGGAGTGGAGTATATTGTATAGATAGGTGGTGCGGGATTTGAACTGGATGAACTGTGAGACTTGGACAGCAAGATGAAAAGGGCTGTAACCACCTGGACGAATCGACGAACCGCCGGTTGCAAAATTAGCTCCATACCTAAAGCTTGTTCCTACTGAATCCAGATATGCACTCAGGTAAGGAACTTTCAGCTTCTCGGCTGCAAAAGAATCAGATATATCAGTTGATAGAGCTGAAAATGAAGAACTCAAAGCCCAAAAAAGGCTTCCAAATATAGAAAATCCGGATTGATGAGTTCACTCTGTTAGATACTTAGATATACTAATTGTATTGTAAGCCATTTTCATGGAAACTTCATGGTCTCTATATCTTTTGATAATGCAATTTATAGCTAGACTCGCATGGTTTTACTTCTTAATTATACTAGAAGGCCTCAATTCTCAACAATCTAAACAAAGATTAAACCATCACTAATCTTAAGAGCTCAAACTTAAGTTATTGAGCAATAATTTATAGACCCAGATAGTGATTTGTGGATAACCTTCACAAACAGAGAGATATGAGAAAATTTGTTAACTTACCCATGAAGTCTATAATGAGATGGCCATCGCAGGCCCTCCCAGAAGGATGTCCAAAGAATGTCATGCCATTGGGTGATTGAATCGCATCGAATGCAGCTGGTATTCCTCCTTTGTCTGAGTTCGAGTCACCGAAGTTGTACACAGCCGGAAACCGACAACTCGCCGAATCACCACCGCCACCAGCGGCGGCGCTAACCGACGTCATCGGCCATCCCACTAAACCCAGGAAGAGAAGCACCAATACACGGCGGAGCTTCAGTGGGTCCATGGTTTGGCAACAGAGCAAAGCGAAATCAACCCGTCTGAGCTTTTTCACTGCTCAAAATTTTCATTGAGCGTATCCGACAAGTCGGTGGGCCAAAATCGTTGTTGAAATTTGAGCGTCGTTCTATGTAGTATAAGAGATCCATGGATTTTTGTGAGACAGGGATTCTCGTCTTCAATCATGGCAGAGAAATTGTGCTTCCCAAGAACACATTCGTCAGTCCGTGGCCAGCTCGATATACAACAATTCTCGAGTGAGGAACTTAAAATAATTTCTTAAATAAAATAATCACCCACTTATAAATAACATAACTTATGATATATAACAAATCAAAACGGATAATATATACTAACGGTGTGCTTGAATTATTATAAATAATATTATAGCGAAACACTAAGCAATGTGCCAACGAGAACCGCCCCTAAGAGGATGAATTGTAAGATCCCATATCACATTTCTTATAAAGGTGTGGAAACCTCTTATTAATAGATGTGTTTTAAAATATGAGATTAACAACAATACGTAATAAACCAAAGCATACAATATTTGTTGCCAGTGCGCTTGAACTATTACATGCACAGTCAACAATTTAACTGCCATCATTTTTTTGGTAGTCAACTGACAGTTCAATTACCATTTAGAACTATTTACCATGTCTCTGATACTAAAGTGTTCATTTTAAACCTTCGAGCACCTCCATTCACGACTATACTTAAATCGGCTAATACTAAACAACCTATAAGGCTTAAATGCTGCAAGGTGCATATAAGACATGTAGCCTAAGGCTAATGAGACTACACAAAAGAATTATAACTCAGTCCTATAGATACACATATTTAGGCAGCACTAGATTTGACACAAGCAGAGACATTACTTACTACTACACAGGCTGCCAGTGAAGCTGTCTTGAGCTCCATGTGCTCTTGATGGGTGAACAAGGAAATATGATGGTAGGAAGCCTCTTACTCTCCTCAAGATGAGGAAAATCTATGGTGTAATGAAGCCCACGGCTCTCTTGTCGAGTGATGGCGCTGCTTACGACCAACTTCGCGCAGCAAAACAGGTTCCTCATTTCACAAACCTCCAGAGCCACCATGGTTAGCTCCCATCCTTGATGAAACAAGTACTCTTCCCATGTTGCTTCTAGCTTACTGATCTTCTGCTCTGCAGTCTCGAGCCTCGTGGTCGACCGAACAATTCCTACATACTTCCACATGATTAGTTGTAACTGTTTCCTTATGTCATTAGTCATTGATATGATTCTGCTCATGAAATCGTTTCCGAGGGACACGGGCACGAAAGGTCTAGCCCATTTATTCAAGATACGAGAATCAAAACTTGAGCTCTTCATATGATCAACAGAGGGCTCAACTGCCCTTCGTGCAAAAACTAGAGCTTCCAGCAATGAGTTGCTAGCTAGACGGTTGGCTCCGTGTAAACCCGTGCAGGCAACCTCACCTGCAACATACAGACCCCGCACATTGGTCTCCCCCTGAAGCCCCGCACGAACTCCCCCACAAATGTAATGAGCAGCCGGAACCACTGGAATTGGCTGGCATGTAATGTCCAAACCATGCTTGAGGCATTCAGCAGCAATGTTGGGAAAATGGGAGAGAATGTTTTCCCTGGGCTTGTGACTAATATCTAGTAGTACATACTTCTCATTTCGCTTTTTCAGCTGGTCATCTATGCTTCTAGCCACCACATCTCTCGGGGCGAGCTCGGCTCTCTCGTCGTACAATGGCATAAATCTTTCCATACCTAAATTGTACAGGATACCTCCATCACCCCGAACGGCTTCGGTTATAAGAAAAGCATTTTCTCTTGGCTTGTCTAGTCTTACTGGAAGGCCTTCATCAGCTAAGGCAGTTGGGTGGAACTGCACAAATCTGCATTAGATAATAAAATCTATTAATAACCATGACTCCTATCATCCTAAATCAATACCCAAATATAGTCCAGGAAAGGAAACATTACTAAAACTTAACCAACATCACAATAACAAAGGTACGACCGCATCTTCAAAAGTCAAAGAAATACTAGAAATGTAAGATAATGTATTTCTTATTCTTACTTAATGTGAGATCCCACATCGGTTAGAGAGGGGAACGAAACATTTTTTATAGGGGTGTAGAAACCTCTCTTTGTTTTAAAATTTGAGGGGAAACCCGAAAGTAAAAAACCCAAAAATGACAATATCTACTGTCTATGGCTTTGAACTATTACAAATGGTATCAGAGCCAGACACCGGACGACGTGCCAGCGAGGAGGCTAAGCCTCAAAGGAGGTGGACATGAAGCAGTGTGCTAGCAGCACGGACGTTGGATCCCAAAGGGGATAGATTGGGGGGTCCCACATCGATTGGAGAAGAGAACGAATGCTAGCGAGAACATTCGGCCTAGAAGAGGGGTGGATTGTGAGATCCCACGTCAGTTGAAGAGGAAAACAAAGCATTCTTTACAAGGGTGTGGAAACCTCTCCCTAGCAGACGCGTTTTAAAACCTTGAGGGGAAACTCAGAACGAAAAGCTCAAAGAGACAATATCTGCTAGCGGTGGGCTTGGACTATTACATTTAACAACCAAAGTCCGCAGGAATCAAAAGAATAGGCATAAGACAAATCACAATGACTGAGACGGTTACTCACTCCATGTTGGAAATTACAGCTTGAGCTCGATGAGACATGGCAATTCCATCTCCAGTGGCAACCTTTAAGACGATGTCGACTAACATTAGAATAAATATATCCACCAAACAAGATACTATTGCATGCAAGATTCTGATTGGAACCAAACAATTAAAATGGTATTGAAAGATAAAAGATACAAGTTAAAAAAAGTACAATAACCTCAAGTCTGAATTACCGATCAATTGCCCAACACTTCTCCTCAATTCCTCTGTTTATGACCAATTCTGGGCTAACTACAATTGTATCCCTTCCATTCTAATACAGTCCTAACTTCTATCCTGCCGGCACTCCTAACAGACCGTAACCCACATGACATAACTAGTTTCGTTGAGAAGGTTGTAGAATGGAAATGAAAAGTACCAGGGGATTCGTTGTTGATGGATACATGTGTCCAGCTCCACCTGAGGCAAGTAAAGTCACCTTGGAAATAAACCGTGTAACCTGGAAGTACACGAGAGGAAAGAAATTAAAGGGCAGAATACGTGAATTGTTTTAAGACTCAAAACTGTGTTCAGATATGGGGATGGACCGAGATATCACCTCCAGTGTTTCAGCATTCAAAGTATCAACACCAACACAAACTATGTCCGAACCATCCTGCAATATTAGCAACATCATTTCACATTGCTGCATTTAAGCATTTGTTTATACTTTTTGATATTACGCTGTCTAACAGCCAAGCCCAAGTCCAAGCCTACCGCTAGCAGATATTATTTTATTTGGGCTTTCTTTTCTGGAGTTACTTTCAAGGTTTTAAAAACACGTCTACTAGAGAGAGGTTTCTACATCCTTATAAGCAATGTTTCATTCCCTCTCCAACCAACGTGGGATCTCCTGATGTCTAAATTTCTCAAAGTACAATAAACTCGGAAGAAACAAGGAAATGAAAAGTTTTGTTGAAAGAAATAGGGAAAGGCAAACCTCGGAAGTAAGTAAGTCAATTGCAAAATGGTGCTCAAACACAAAAATATTAGGATCCTTGACAACGGCCTCCAAAAGAGCCCGCTCGATTTCCCTTCCAGTCATATCTGCGGCATGAACAATCCTACGATGAGAGTGTCCCCCTTCCCTTGCTAGATGCAAATTACCATCTTCCCCATGGTCAAATGAAGCACCCATACCAATCAACTCTTTGATTCTGTCAGGCCCTTCTGTACATACAACCTAAAGAAAACAGGCAATTTCAGAAGAAAGAAAGAAAGAAAGAGAAAAGGTAATGAACTTTAAAAAAAGTGTGAAGGTATGATATGCAAGCTGGAAAACATACTCTAACTGTCTCCTCATCACACAGATGAGCCCCGGCGACGATGGTATCCTGCACATGACTTTCAACAGAATCTGAAGGACAAAGAACAGCACTAACACCTCCTTGAGCATAATTTGTATTGCTCTCATGAGGTTCAGCCTTGGTGATCACAGCTACAGATCCATGTTTTGCAACTTCAAGAGCATAACGAAGGCCAGCAACTCCGCTACCAATAACAATAAAGTCAAAATACTTTGTTGAACCGTCACTCAAGCACGCCGAAGTGACTGTCGTCGGAGTTCTCCATTTCTCATTAATTGTAGGTGAGGAAGTCTTGCTTCTTCGTACATGTGAGAACTTACTTAATCCATATGACCTGGATAATTGTGCAAAGAATAAGTAATATGAAGGCTATGGTGATAAATAGTAGAAGGGTGAAGAATTCTAAACGGCTACCCATATAACACACAAAAATGTCTTCCTAATATTTTCAAACGCCCAAATAGAAGTTGAAATTTACATCACATTATGAAATTCTTCTTTCATGCGTACAGATAATTCTATTTGATCCCATATTTTCTTTGCTTAGAAGACAGGAAAATGAATACATGTCTCAAAAATCGTGTCATACTAGTACAGAATCAAAATTGTTCTCAATTTGTAGACATTGATGTGCTTGAGCATCTTCTAACACTGCAAATGCAACAATTTATGATTTTATTCAACGAACATAACCAGATACAAGATAAAAATATGAGTATCAAACAAAAAATAGAAGATTGTCTTATAAAGTTCTTCAGTGTTATGTCAAATTTTAGTGGGGTATAAAGAGAAGTCACTCTCTAATTCCGTCATATTTGGACTCTAGAAATGTGAAATATCCAAGAACTTTGATCCAAGCAGGAATGCAGTAAACAAAAATTTGTTTTGATGGTTAGATTCGTCTACGTTCGGAATCTATGTCCAGTACCATGGAAACGCATCCTGCAAGCATCTTTTGAAAGCTATACTAGCGTCCCATTGGGCTCTTTTACAACCTTGTAACTTCAAATCTACCGCCCTGCAAGACAGTTTGCAGCTCCCAATAGGTATACAAATCGCCATTGCAGCCCTGCAGTCAAGAGGAGTAAGAGAAAGCCATACATCAGTAATTTCAGTAAGACGCTTCATTTGAATATCTTCTTTGATTCCCAGTGATATGGCATAGACCATGAAGAAACTTAAGAGAGAACAGGGAACACTTGGGAGCATAAATCACTTGCAAGTGTCTTAAATGTCTAAAAACAT